ACTCGACTCTAACCAATCAAATAGCCGACACAGGACACGAACACGGAAGCGGACATGGTCACGGCCACGCCAAGATCACCCAATCAAAATTCTAGAAAGCACATGTCTTTTCACAGTCATACAAAAATTAGAATGCTCTATCAATACAAGTATCATTGTAACACTGCAATATTCTCACTAACAGAACCACCAGATTCAACATCGATAGGTATATCTCCTTGGAAAAGGCGTCACAAGAAGTTCTTGATTTTTTTCTCAAGTCCTTAAAAGATATGTTGGCTTTGGCATGTGCAGTTCTCACTATGTTGTCAAAGACGTTGTCTTTGTTGAAGTACATAGTTACTAAACCCCAGACCGACGAACAAGACCAAACAAATCATGACATTTGTTCTAAAAGCATCGCAGCAACGACGAAAAAAGTTCGAAACTGCCTTGAGAAAGTGTTTAAAGGCAATCTTGGTATCTCTTCAGACACCACGTTAGAAGTGGAGTTAAAGGTATCCAAAGTTTCTATAGACCCCTTGCAGCACTTTGGAATGCAGGTCAATCTGTGGGACAAAACAATAGTTTCCGATTCTCAGGAGATTGGAATTCTTTTGTTTTGTCCCCCAGATCGAGCTGCTTTGACGTCACATGCAAGGGGTCTTTATCTAAGGGTAATGTTCTTGATGCTTCCTCTATTGTTTTCTAACTCGTCTCTTTTAACCCTTTAGACGTGGTCAGCTTTTTATCATGTCGAATTCTCAGACAACACATTTCGCCAATCTTGGGAGGACGAGTTAAAGGAGAGTCTAAACCTACGCATTAAGAAGGTATGCTTTGAAAACAAAGATTCTGTTTTAAAAGACATTCTAATCATTGCCGTGGCACACGTGCAAGGAAGTGTTTCTACTACCCATTACAATGATTATTTGATTATGTGTTTGTAGATGAATTATATGCAAAGGATTAACTTCTATTCAAGAGTCAAATTCAACCACTTCCACCAAAAAGTCGAGGAGTGTTTCCAAGAGGCAGCGTTTGATGCCATCAAAAGTATCATAGAGGTACCTATGAAAGTATGATTATTCTGATGACTGCATTAAAGAAAATTCTGTTTCATGATATAGCCGCACCGCAATATAAATAAAGAATGACGTTGGCTGCAAATAACGCTTTGCGTCGGAAGTGCACAGCAGTTTTAACTTTGTAATGAAAGAAAGTACAACAAGGTTTTCACTACGTTTATTGATTAATTTTACTGCCAAGCTTTCGAGCATATTGGCCATTAGTACCAGGATGTAATCGTGAAGATGGACAATATGCCCGAAAACTTGGTATTCAAACTAATCAATGTAGGGAAAACATCATCAATTAACAATAATCACTGCGTACAAAAATACCACTGAGAGAGTACAGATAGGTGATGGTTTTGTTGCATCTTGCATGTTACTTACTAAGTTTTCATATGTAAATAATATCAGCACGGAAGAAAAAATGACGCAAAAACTTGCAGATAAAGTTTAGAGAATTTCATAGTCTTTTTCATAGTCCTTTTGCTGATACTATTCAAGTCAGTTTCGATCATTCAAGTCGGCCATAATGCAGATCGGGCTTCGTATGCAACACGCAACATGAGCTAACATGCAAGAAGATCTTCACCAACCTTTTTTGGAATAATTGTATGTTTTTTTCACTATGTTGATACTAGTTTCCCTATTATACATGTTATAGGTTGGTATAGAAGCCGATCATACAAAAGCTTTTGAAAGTCTCCGACAGCATGATCCAAACAGCAGTCAATCCAAACAAGTTGGTGAAATGATGTCACTTTTACTCAAACGTTGCTGGCCAAAAGACACTGATCAACCAGACCGCCTCTTGACTCATGTATTGACATGGAATCCAATGGCGAATTATCTGCGATATTTTAGTAAGTGAATAACACAAAGATATACTGTTTAACACTTTTTTACTAGGACCAGTATTGCCAGGGGAAAGCGGTTGTATCTGGACCACGAAATATACTGCTTTTCCGATGTTCCAGTGGCACCCTTTTGGCCAATGGGAAAAGAGAATAAAATGGATTTTGGCACTTGGTATATACGATACTATTTATGTCATTGATATAAAGATATTAGAAAAATCCTAGTTATATTGGAAGTCCTTTTTTACGAGATTCTGATGTTATTGTCATCTTGGTTTTGCACAGCTGAAAGATCCCAGACTCTATCGGGCGAATCTCAGTTACTTCTTACACGTACCACTAGTTGTCTCGAGGATGTCCACCGTATGGTATCTGATGCCTCAGTCACAGTAAACGTCCTGCGCATCCTTAGAGGCAAAGAGGATAAGTACTGCGAACTCTTAGAGATAATGAGATATTCTATTGGCGACAGTGATGAAGATAGTGATGAAGATAGTGACGAAGAAAGCGAAGAAGATGACGAACAAGATGATACCAATAAAGATTTTGGGAGGATTTACAAAAAAGCCCGAACTACTCTGCAGAAACGAATTGATGAGCTGGCGGCATTTGAACAAGAAAGAGAACAACTACGCTCTTTTCTGGGCATAAGTTCCATCTTAGAGCAYGGTATTTATTCATTTTAATCTCACAAAAAGAGGCATAAATCTTCAAATTTTATCTTTACTCTGAAACAGCCTTTAAGTCATGGTACGGCTAACTAACAGATCGACCCCTGAAACAACCACTGGGCTTATCAAGGTCAGGGCGTGGCTAACCTACAGATTGAACCCTGAAACAACCTCAGGTCTGATCTAAGTCAGGGCATGGCTAACCCACAGATTGAACCCTGAAACAACCTCTGGGCTGATCTAAGTCAGGGCGTGGCTAACCCACAGATTGAACCCTGAAACAACCTCTGGTCTGATCTAAGTCAGGGCATGGCTAACCCACAGATTGAACCCTGAAACAACCTCTGATCTGATCTAAGTCAGGGCATGGCTAACCCACAGATTGAATTGGAATGTAGCGTGTTGGGTTAAAAGTGCTGAGAGAGGAATACCCTTAGAGAAAAAACCCTTGAATCAGCAAGTCCTGGAATCAAACCCGAGACCCCAGAGGTGAGAAGTGCGTTGCTGCACGCTACCCTTTGATCCTTTCAATTCAGGCTACAGAGAGCTACCTTAAGAAATTTGCTGTCTGAAATGTATGACAGCTTGAGACCTCATTTACTTTTTTATTTTTTATTTTTATAGTTGATGTAGATGATATGAAAGACAGGGTTAATGTTGATGTATCCAAGGATGTTATTAGCGATCTTGCTGTGCACACTTGTGGTAAAAGACATGGTGAAGCACAAGTCACATTTTTTGGTCTTTCAAAAGAGTTAAAAACAATGATAACAAAGATGCATTCTATTCATGACAGCAGAATTTTCAATGATATCTGGAGAAGAAACTTTGGAGATGCGCAACATGACGAACAATTAACACTGGAAAAAGTCGTGAAAAAATTTTGGACTCCGACTTTCAAGAAATGCAAAGATATACTACAAGCGGTGTTGACCGGAAATATAACCCTCAGTGATGTTGACAAGCGTTTTGAAGGTTTCAAAGATCGCTACGTTGAACTTGAGCAAGACCTTAGTGTCATCATGGGTGCTTGCAGTGCTACTATTGAAGCTGAACGAATACAGGAACAAGTGAATCAGATCCGACAGTACCACAGGCTGACCAAATATATAGCAGCTGCTGATAAGATTCTTGAATTTGCTGACAAAATGAATTTAAGAGGCGATTTCCATATGGTTGACACATTTCGACTTCAGGTATTTTTCAACTGAATGCCGCTAGCAGAAGTGCGGTAAAACTGGCAACAAAGTCGTACAGTTTGTCACGCAACATTGTCTCATTAGAAGTTGCAAAGCGATTGTTGCCCGTATTACTATTCCGTGTGCAACCAAATTTCTTTGTTGCATGAAGTAGAAGATATATAGATGAATTAATAGTCGTTTACTTTTCTATTTGCTCATGTAGATAAGTCCAGAGTCAAAGAGACAGCCGCTGGAATCTTTACAAGAAGAATTTAACCAGACAGGAGGAATCCTAGGAGAATTCACTCCTGAGAGACTACAATGTCTAGATGCTGTGATGGAATCTAAGGATTTCATCGTATGGTTAAAGAAAGCCGTACCAGGTAAATAATAGAAGACTTGCAAAATCTACGACGGCGACGTCAACCGGAAGTGTAAATAATTTCTCTTTGGGGTTCTGTTCATTGGAGATTTCATCCAATACATTGTCAGTAAAGTCAACTCATCCACAGGGAAGACAGACTTTGAAGGCGCGAAACCCCAAAGGGGAGTTATTTACACTTCCGGCTGACGTCACCCTCGTAGATTTTGAAAAATTCCTCGAATACCATATTTGGAGAACATCAGTTCAGTTACCCGTGAGCTGATTGGTTAAGACTATTTTCTAGGTATCGATCAACTACAAATCCTTTTTTGATCTTCAGATTCAAGTGAAATCAAGGTGTTGGTAGATCTTGCCATGATGTCAGCTGGTGAAGGTGACATGGAAAGTGACCGTATCGCTGCCCTTCACACGTGTACAAGAGGCTTTAAACCACTCATTTATGACCTTGAAGAAGAGGATGGCTTTGACCGCCTAGTTGAGTTATGTAGTGACGTTTGGGATGACTTGGAACACAACCCAAGGCTGCCATTGCAAATGGTATGATCTGTAAACACCATTGAATTATTGTTAATCACAACAATTATATAATCATATAATAGTCGATAAGCGAGACAGCTATTCTAAATAGAACTCTTTACCTTGCATGTAGAATTTCCCATTTCAGACCACATGAAATTCACTTGAGTATCTTTTCTTTGTTTAACGGTTGCGCACGAGAAGAAACATGACACATAGATAGACACAACTAGAACAAAGAATCTTAGACTCAAGAGAATGACACGTGGTCTGAAATGTGAAAGCATTACGCCCAACTGACTATTTTTATGATTTCTCTTAATTCTCGATTCATCTTTAAGAGTGACACAAGTAGAAGACTTGAATGGCTGAAGAATGTTTTGGAATTCCATGGATCCGTGACAATGTCTTCTCTACAGCAAGTAGAAACTATAATGAAACATGGAACATTAACCATTGGTTGCCATG